AGTTTAGGTAGATTGTGTGTTTCTAGATATTTGTCCACTTCCTCAAGGTTTTCATATTTGTTTGAGTATAGTTTTTCATAATATTCTAATGTTAACTTTTTCATTTTAGTTGGGTCTGTTGTGATGTTGCCTGATTCATCTCTTATTCGGATTATTTGTGTCTTCTCCTTCTTTTCTTTTGACAAACACATTTTTTAAGAGACATAAAAGCAGGTTATACACATGGATCTCACCTGATGGTATACACAGGAATAAGATCAATTACATATGTGGAAGGAACCGATGGAGAAGCTCAATATCAGCTGTGAAAACTAGGCCTGAAGTTGATTGTGGAACAGACCATCAACTACTCATATGCAAGTTCAAGCTGAAGCTGAGGAAAATTAAACCGAATCTATGAGAACTAAAATATAACTTTGAGTCTATCCCACCTGAATTTCAGAACCATCTCAAGAACAGGTTTGAGACCTTGAAGATGAATGAGCGAAGACCAGATGAGTTATGGGAAGATATCAAGAGTATCATGCAAGGGTATTTGTGTTTAAATCCAAGTCCCTGTGATGACAAACTCCTTGACACAGGAGATGGCCAAGACATCTGGAGAGCTCCAAGAAGTCCTGGGCCTACAGATGCTGAAAAGAAACAAGGACTTTCACCCAGAACAGAGAGCACCTTTCCCGAGAGCTGGCACATGGAATGTGGACTTCAAACCTCCTGAACCATGAGAGCATAAATGCATTTAATGATGTTACACACATGTGGTAGTTGTTATAGCAGCACAAGACAGCACTCGTCCACCCAAAGAACTGAACGGGGGGGGAAAATCAAGCCTCAATGTGCAATACTGAAGCATTCTATGGGTAAAAGACTGGACAGTACGGGAAGCATCAAAAGAAGATGGAAGGAATAGAGACTCATGGTACCACCAAAATAGATAGATAGATAGATAGATAGATAGATAGATAGATTGACAAAAAATTGAACTATTTCAGAAAGTAGCACATGATCAGTAATCAATGGTACTAAAAGCACTAACCTTCAATGGTGATCTGTGGGCCCCCCAGTCCCTTCCCTGCACTCTCCTTCAGTGGTGCTCTGTGGGGCCCCCAAGACCCTGCCCTGTACCCACCTTCAATGGTTATCTGTGGGTTCCCCAGTCCCTGCCCTGCACCCACCTTCTGCAGTGATCTGTGGGTCCCCCAGTCCCCATCCTGCAATCACCTTCAGTGGTGGTCTGTGGGTCCCCCACTTTCTGCCCTGAACCTACCTTCTGCAGTGATCTGTGGGTCCCCAAGTCCTTGCCCTGCACCCACCCTCAGCAGTGAGCTGTGGGTCCCCCAGCCTCTGCCCTCAGCAGTGAGCTGTGGGGACTCCTCTTCAGGCCCTGCCCTGAACCCAGCTTCCTCAGTGATCTAAGGGTTTCCTGGCCCCTGCCCTGCACACACCTTCAGTAGTGAACTGTGGGTCCCCCAGCCCCCACCCTGCACCCACCTTCAGCAGTGAGCTATGGGGTCTCCTCTCCAGGCTCTGCCCTGCTACCCACCTTCCACAGTGATCTGTGGTCCCCCAGCCCCCACCCTACACCCACCTTCAGTGGTGAGCTGTGGGGCCTCCTCTCCAGGCCCCTGTTCATGCTTCTCACCACGCTGTTTATTGAAGGGGTTGAGGTGGGCCTGTCGGAACCTGGCCAGCTTCTCATCATATTCCATAGCATCCCACCTGTGGGCAGGTAGAGCGCAAACTCAGCTTGGGTTCAATGCATCCTCGGTCTCCCTGATTCAGGGTTTCACAGGTGAGCCCTTGCCTCTGCTGCTGCACATGGGGGTGTTGGCTGGGAAGGAAATGCCATGCTTCTACCCAACTCCTCAGCCTTCCCCAGGCTGATCCAGCCTCTACAGTCAGGCCACACCCAGGAGGAGCCCCAAGTGACAGCATCAAGACCACTCCTACCCTAAAGAAACCAGAGCTGCCACCCAAGCAGATATATGCACACCCATGTTCATTGCGGCTTTGTTCACAATAGCAAAGAGTTGGAAACAGCCCAAGTGCCCATCAGCAAACAAATGGATAGAGAAGCTGTGGTATATTCACACAATGGAATACTACACTGCATTGAAAAAGAAGGAACTCATGAAATATAATACAAAATAGGTGACCATGGAGGACATTATGCTGAGTGAAATATCTCAGTCACAAAGGGACAAATATTGCATAATGCCACTGTTATAAAACAGGACTGACATCAGGGTTGGGGGGAATCTAAGAAAAGAGGGGATAAATAATGTATACTGCATTGAAACAGATATGGAGAGAACTATTTGAAAGGAATATATGATTAGGTATTATTTTCATGACAAGAGTCCAGAATGAGAGCTTCATGGGAGAGTGGATGGGGGGTGGGGATTATATAATAATGAAAGTTTGTTTGTTTGTTTGTTTGTTTGTTCTTAATTTTCAAAGAAAAACAAGCTGGAAGGGAGCTCTGGTGGCCTAGTGGCAAGAAGCTGCACTGTAATCCCAGAGCCATGAGGTTTGAATCCACGAGATGCTCTGCTCGAGAAAGAGGGACAATCTCCTTCTGTACCAGTCAGATCTGATTTGATGGTACACACACACACACACACACACAGAGTAATAAACTAAAATAAATTTTTAAAAAAACAGCTGGGCGAGAGGTGGGCAGGGAGGAAAATGTGCAATAATGAATGAATGGAAATCTAAAGTCTCTATAAACTTTCATTAAAATTTCAATTAAATTAAAAAAAGACCACTCCTGTCATGCAGGACCGTGACGAAGACACGAACCAAAACATGAAAGCCCAGGTGTTGGCCTCTAGCACACAATGGGCATCCAGGTCATCACAGATGCTGCAGCTCCAAGGCTCCCCACTCCACCCTAGCCCTCCTACTTCCTGTGTCTGCTGCCCAGACCTCGATCCTGACCACAGACATGAGAGACACCAAGATGGCCCAGCTTCATGCACTGGCAATCCTTCCAGGCACAGCTGACCCAACAAGGACTCCAAAAACTCAGTGGTGGCCATTGGGTCAGTGTGGGCACATGGGAGCCAGGGTGCCCCTGCTCTGCCACCTGTGGGGAAACCTTGAGAGAATGAATCTCCTTGTTCTCTGAGGGTGTCGCCGAGGTGTTCCCTCTCCAGCAGGAGCAGCCATCCTGCAGCCATCCCTGCATGTCCCAGCCTGGCTCAAACCCAAAACTCTCTCCGTGGTCAGCCACATGGCCCAGGCAAAAGAGCCAAAGGTCCAGGCATGAACCTGGCCTACCTCTAGCAAAGATGAGGCTGTAGCTATTCCCTCTCTTCCCCTCCAGCTGATGATGCTTGTGAGAGGTGGGAGTGGCGTTCAACCTTTCTCTGGCTAGACAAGGATTCAGCCTGATCTGCAATGGCTCCACATGACTTGACCAGCCAGGTCATGTCCTACCCTCTGCCTGACAATTTTCTCATCTGTAAATGGAGACAGTAACAGATTCTGCCTCAGTGGGTTCTAGTGAGCATGAGATCTAAGTAAGTTATGACAGAAATATTAGAGATGTTTTTCAAGTCATGTAGGAAGCTCATGGGTATTGCTAGGTTTTCTCTGTACTTGTTTAGTCTGAAACAATTCAAAATTATGAATGGCTCCTCCCTTGTGACTGTCCCTCCCCTACTAAAAAAAGGAAGTCCCAAGTGGAGGACGGGTGGGGCCATCTAGGACCTGTCCTTCCTGCTTGGCCTCTGTAGTTTGGGTGGTTGAGTCCCTGCTGGCTGGATACCCTTTGATCAAACAGAAAACACAGATGTCATACTCTCTGCTTCCACCAGGTGACTTTGGCCCAAGTACACAGGGAGTTCAGGTCAGAGGCCCCCTCCAAAGCTCCTCAACAAGGGAACCTGGAAGTTCTACCAAACTCCTGGCATTGACCCAGGACCCACCCACTGGTCTTCCTCAGAGGGACACCTGAGTATTAGCTTGGCAGACAACCACATGCAGCTGGGTGTTTCTTTATTCTTGCTTGCTGTGATGCAGACATAATGGGTGGAGCTGAAGAAGCCACCTTCAACTATCATGGAAGGCAAGAAGGAGGATAGCTGAACAAGGTAGGAGCTTCTACCTGAGCCCTGAGCTGTTCACCTTCAGGCTTCCTTCCAGTGAGACAGAAATAAACATATGCTGAAACCACGGGCTCCAGGGCAAGGTGGGCAGCTGTCTCCTGCAGCCAGAACAAATCCTAACTGACCAGAGCCTGACTGGAGAAGAGCTGGATTAGTCCAGTTTAATCCCAGGGGTGCTATTTCCTTGGTGTGACCTTGGCCAAATGCATAAACTTCCACAGAGCTTTGAGAGCTCAAAGGGACAGGACAATTTAGTGGTGTTGTACACCATCAAGTTGACTCTGGAGGGCAGAGCAGAACTGCCCACAGCATTTTCTAGGAGCTGAACTCTTTAGAGAAGCAGATTCTTCAGTCTTCTCTGCTAAGCAGTCATTGTTGGGTTTAAACTGCTGGCGTTTGGGTTGGTGGTGAGAGCTTAGCCGTGTGGCACCAAGACTCCTTGAGGATGACAGTAGTGATGTCCCCAGCCAGCCTCCCACATCCTGTCCACAGGGCAGCCACCAAAAGTGGTGGTGCTGTCAGCTGAGCTGCTGCTGGGAGGGCGCAAGGTTCCCCAGTGGGGGCTCAGAGGACAAAGGCCCATCCTTTTGGCTCACTGTGAAGGAGCCCTTCAAGGTCACTGTCTCTTTAAGGGCTGTTTATCACCATTGAAGACTAGGCTATGTGATCACGTCCTGAGTCAGGGCCCAGCTGGCAAAACTATCCCTCTCTTCTCCCTCACCACCAACAACATGAACCTGCTCAGGCATCCTCAAATCTCCCCACTTTTCATAGGACCAGAACTCTCCCAATTCCCACTCGGTTCACAGAGGATGAAACTGAGGTTCAGAGTGGCCTAGTGTCCACTGATGGTGGCAAAGCCACAGGGGTTCCACGCCTGGATCGCACACAAACAGCCGATGTTGACAGTGGAAGAAGTCACTTTTGTCACCTGGGGTGGGGTGGGGCAGAGCAATGTTGAGGTGCTAACTCTTGCCCCATGGGGGATACGGACACAGTTGAGGTCACCCATGCCACCCCTCACCTGCGCCCGGATGAAGTATGGGAGGTGAACAACCCCGTGGGGGTCCGAATCCTGCCGACGACGAGTCACTTACCCTTCAGCGTCCGCTCGGGAGGTGGGACGTTCTCGCCCCAGGAGACCGGCCGAGAGGGTCGCGTTAGCTGGGCCCCCACCCCACTCCCCTTCCCCGGCCTGGCTCACACACTGCAGTCGCCTTCGCTACATTGTAACTCGCCGCCGCCCTGGCTACTTTGTACCCTGCTCCGCCGCCCGCTGCTGCCGCCTGTGGTCCGGAGGCTCATGACACGCGCTCCACCCGTCCCCAGGTCAAAGCCAGACCCTTCTTTTATGCAGGGGAGGAGAGTTGGGGCTGCATTTCTGAGATTTCCCTTTGTCAAACGCCCTGGTTTAAATCTGAACGGCAGTATTTCTTTTCTTCAATTCACAAGTGGGTGTGAGCTGATTCGATTGGCCTTGTATATAAAAAGGCAGCTGGTCCCTAGTTTGGGACTGGTATCCAGTTTGGGAAGATGGGTGGAGCAATTGGATTTACAAAGATGTGTTTCCTTGCTTTGGTGGAGGCTTGGATGTGGACTGTTCACAACCACGGGTGAGCTGATTGGATTGGCCTTGTATTTTAAAAAAGGCAGTTGGGAGTTCCCCAGTGGTCCCGTGAATCTCTCTCTTGCTTCAACAGCGTTTAGACAGAACAGACCCTTTCAGCCTCCAACTACCTTCCAACTTCATTTCCAGGTGTAACCTAGGGACCAACTTAACCATCTCCTATTTTCAGGACCAGCTAACACTGGTTTTGTGTTTGATTTGGTTTGGTTTTTTTGTTTGTTTTTTTTGTTTTTGTTTTTGTTTTTTAGCCCCAAAACATTGACTAACTATGAACTCTCCGATCTGTCAAAATTATTCTGCCAAACAACCTGCTGTACCTGCGGGCCTCTTACACCTACCTCTCTCTGGGTTTTTATTTTGAGCACGATGATGTGGCCTTGGAAGGCGTGGAACACTTCTTTCTCGAGTTGGCCGATTGGCTCTTGAAGCTGCAAAACCAGTGCAGTCCTCTTCCAAGATATCCAGAAGCCATCCCAGGATGAGTGGGGTAAAACCCTGGATGCCATGCAAGCAGCGCTGGCCTTGGAGAAGAACCTAAAACCTAAACCAGGCCCTTCTGGATCTGCACGCCGTAGGTTCTGCCCACACTGACTCCCCATCTCTGTGACTTTCTGGAGAACCACTTATTGGGTGAGGAAGTTAAAACTGCTGAAGAAGATGGATGACCATCTGACCAACATTAGAAAACTGGGTGGCCCCAAGGCTGGGCTGGGCGAGTATCTCTTTTTTTCTTCTTTTTGTGAGTATCTCTTTGAGCATCTCACCCTCAAGCATGACTAGGTGCCTACGGGGACCTGCAAGGGGGGGGCCTCTGTGTCCCCCTGCCATCAGCAGCAAGCTTCTCTTTCCCACCCTGTTATAGAATCTTACCTACCCAGAAGCTCCTCACCCAAGCCTTGGACCAAATGAAACAATAAAGCTTTTTGCAACAGCTTAAATAAATAAATACATAAAGGAAGGAAGGCAGTTGGGCCCTGGGCCTGCAGTCCTGGGGCCTGGCTTTAATGATTTTTGATCAAACATTCTTCTAAGTAGTATAGCGCTGGTCTGTCAATTTGCTGTAAAGAGGTGCTGCGGGTGCTGTGATGCTAAACACTGTAACACTGATGTGTCAAATATGATAATGGTCACCCATGGTGTACAGTGTTTGGTGGAGCTCCTCGATTAATATTGCTAGGAAGCAGGAATGGCATCCAGTTCCAAAACAGCTTGCCTCTGGAAACTCTATGAACTTAGAGAAATGATGATAGTTATACCACAAGGTTCAGGCCTTTAGTTCATAGGGTTGCTATGAGTCGTCTATGGCACTGAACAACAACAACAACAACAACAACATTATTATATTTGAAAAAACTAAATAAGAAAAGTGAGTGGTTAAGAGAAAAGGAAGCAGAAAGGAAAGGAGTGACTATCTGCGCTCGGCCCTGCTGATGCTATACTCCAGGGTGTCACTCACCAAGTTATAGAAGAGGAAACTGAGGCACAGTGATGTTACCAGCTGGTCAGCAGAACAGCAGAGGGTGGGGCTTTATTGCTTCTCACTCATTTTTAAGGAAGTCTAGTGGCCTACTTGGGCGAGAGTCATGCTGCTAACCCAAAGTGCCCCATCCTCTGAGTCCACCAGGGGTTCTGCCGGGGAAAGATGGACAGTCTCCTGATGGTGTGAGTCAGACTTCACGCAAGAATAGGTGAGTTACTTATAAACCTGGAGCTGGGGGCACCTGTACCACCAACCCCCCGAGCATCCCCAGCATCTTCACTCAGTGAAACTTGCATCCACAGAAGTCAAGGACACCCAACCCAGACTTGATAGTGGAGGAGATGTGCAGTCCCTTCATCCCTGAGACTCAATGTCCCTCTCTGCAGAAGAGTGGACCACCTCTGGCTCTGGTTGCCTTGAGGGACCACCATGACAGTAGGACCCACTAAATGGAGACACACCCCCAGGCAGGATCACTTGGTCATCACTAAGCACACATGCTTTAGGAGCCTAGGAAGGGGGTGCTTCTATACAGGGCAGCTCCGGCATCTCTAGTCAGAGAGTCAGCCAGGACCATGCCTCTGTCTCTGACTGACTTCACACTGGACAGAGATGGTACCCATGAGAGCCTGACAACCTCATCCTTCTGGTGCCGGATTCCATTTGCATCTGACTTCTGTCCACCCCCTGGCTGCTGCCCTTTCGCCTCCAGTCTCTGGGCACCAGTGTGCTCCAGCTTATCTTTGTTGGAGGCAGAACTGAGGATGTCAGAACTGCTCCCCACAGAAGAACCCCCTCCCAGACTTATGGAGGATGTGTGCTTCTGTGCTCGCCCTTAGGTTGGCTTTTGTCTTAGGAGAGATGAAAGAAGAGAGAAGCTGGCAGAGACAGGACCTTGAGACCACCAAGAAAGAACTTCCAGGAGCGGAGTGCATTAGCCTGGACCCAAGTCTCTGTGCCGGGGAGCTCCTCAGTCCTAGGGAAACCAGCACATGTGGAAAGGAAAGTCAAGCATATAGACCTTTTGTCCTAAGAGAGATAAAGGAAGGAGGTGTCAGCACCACTAAGGATGGAGAGAAGTGACCTGCATCACCTTGGACATGGCCCCATGCCAGAAAGCACCATGACACAGTGAAAGCTAAGACATAAGGAGGTCTCCAAGGAACCTCATGAAGATAGATACTGAAGGAGACAAGGACCTTTCCTCAAAGCTGACAGAGAAAGATAATGTGAAAGAAATAGAGACACACAGAGATAGCACTTTCTCCTAGAGCCAGCACCAGCATTCAGACTTCTGAATATCCCATGGATGGCCAAAAGAACAAACAGATATGTCTTGGAGAAGGTGCAGCCAGGGTACTTATTTTTTGCTCACATTTTATTATATAAGTCACTTATTGTTTCTGGGCTTTAGTTTTCTTAATTCACTGAATGAAATGCTATATGATATAGCCAGGGTGTTCTTTGGAGGCAAAGATGATAAAGCTTCATTCATACTTTGGGCATGTTTGTAGGAGAAGGACGTTATGCTTAGAAAGGTGGAGAGTCAGCGAGGGAGAGGAAGATCCTCAACCAGGTGGGTTGACATAGTGACTATAGCAAGGATTCAAGTGTGTCAGAGATTGTGAGGATGGCACAGGACAGGACAGGGTTCAGGTCTGTTGTTCACGGGGTTGCTATGAGTTATACCCCGCAGCACCTAACAACAAAGATTGAAGTTGTCAACTCTTTCATCTTACTTGGATCCCCAATCAACATCCACAGTACCAGTATTCAAGAAATCAAAGGACACGTTGTCTTGAGAAAATCTGCTGTCAAGAACCTCTCCCACATCTTAAGGAGCAACGATATAAATTTAAAGATTAAAGTCCACCTGATTCAGGTCTTTTCCATTACTTGCTATTCACTTGAAAGCCAAACAATGAATAAAGATGACGGAAGAATCGATGCCTTTTGTTTTTGAGTTGTAGTGCTGGAGCAAATGAACATCCCATTGACTGTCAAAAGAACAAACAAGTCTGTCTCCGAGAAAGTGCAACCAGAGTGCTCCTGAGAGGCAAGGATTGTGAAACTTCATCTCACATATTTTGGGCAAGAGGTTAGGAAGGACCAGTCTGTAGAAAGGCAGAAAGACAAGGGAGTTCTGGTGGCCTAGTGGCAAGGAGCTGCACTGCAATCCCAGAGGTTCATGGTTTGAATCCACCAGATGCTGCTGGAGGAGGAACAATTTCCTCCTGTACCAGTCAGATCCAAGTTGACAATACACACAAAAAATAATAAAATAAAATAAAAAAAGAAAGGCAGAAAGGCATATGATGTTTGGAAAGATGCAGGGTCAGTGGAAGAGAACTTCAATAAGGTGAATTGACACAGTGACTTTAACAGTGGACACAGGTGTTGTTCTCCTTTGGAACCCAAGGGTGCTGACTACTCCCACAGGCACCTGATGTGGTCCGGATGAGTGAGAGGGCCGAGGTCCTCCCTTCACCTCCCTCATGTGCTGAAACAGTGAAGCCCAGCACCTGGGCAGAGGGGTGTCCACCTGCTCTCATGAGTGACCCAGGGCTTTTCCTCCCCATTAGAAGACCTTCTGGGTTACTTCCAGAAAGGATGACTGTGTAAGTGTTTTGTCCACATGCAAGTATAAATGAGGACTCTCCAGAGCCTAGGACCACCGGTGTCTTCAGAAGGCGGCAGCCCAAGCCAGGTGCAGCCCCTAGGGTCTGCCCTGGTTATCTGTTACTAGACAGCACCCAAGGTCAGTGGGGACGGAGCATTTTCCTGTTCTCTGGACTCCTGCAGCAGCCACAGCTAAAGTCAGGGATGAGAGCAGGCATTGGGGCTCCACTCACACACCTGCTCCAGGACACACCCCAGGTGTCCATACTCTGAGTGAAGTCAGCATATAGCTGCTGGCTGCCACAGCTCCCAGTATCCCCTTCACAGCTCAGGCCACCCAGGATGTCCTGAATTAGGGCCTGGGGTCCCAGACGCTGGCCCTGTGGAGAGTTCAGTCCCCCATGGGCAGCGAAGGACAGCTGTCCCCCCCACCTTCTTAATCAGCCCTTGGCTTTAGGGGACAGGAAGAGGCAGGTAGAGAAGAGTCTGGCCCTGAATGGTCAAGGCATCAGACTTTCTTTCCTGAAGGAATGGGCAGTCTGGTTGTCTGCACTCTCCCAGAGCACCTCTGGTTAGTAAGTGGGCTCCCAGCCACAGGCCTGCTTCCTGATGCCAAAGTGACTGGCTGCCCTGCCACGCCCACTTTGTCTTCAGGTGTGAATGTCATCAGCCAAGGAGGAGGCATTTTCATCAGAGCCAGTGAGAGACTTAGCAGGGCAAGTCCTGCAGCCACCAGGTACTAGTGTGGGAGGCCACTCAGTGGTGTGCTGGCAAGAGTGGGTTTGGGTCTGGGCCCTTGTTGTCCAGGGCCCACAATCCCAGGTGGACCTCAGGCCCAGCACAGGCCACCAACTGGGGAGACAATACACTGGCCCCACCCCCACCTGCACCTCCCTGTCAGCCCCTCCTGGACCTCTGCCCACCTTCCCAGAATAAGAAGACAGCTCCGCACCAGGCCGGGGCATCTGGCAGCAATAAATTTATTAAGTATTCAAGAAAAATAAAAATCAACACAAACTAGTAAGAAAAACAACACAAACCGTCGATGTCAGGCCTGAGCCACAAGAAAACAAACAAGACGTAAGAGCAACAGAGACGTGGGTGGAGGACAGGACAGGGCTGGGGGCAGCGGGGCAGGCCCAATGCTGAGGGACCCAGGCAAAGCTGCTGCCCTGGGGGCAGATAGGACCACCCTGCCCCCACCCCAGCCCGGCTCCAGCACCCGCTTCACTTGGGGCCCTGGGCCTCAGACTCCTCATCCTCATCCTCGTACATCTCGCCCTCCTCCTCGGCCGTGGCGTCCTGGTACTGCTGGTACTCGGACACCAGGTCATTCATGTTGCTCTCGGCCTCGGTGAACTCCATCTCGTCCATGCCCTCGCCCGTGTACCAGTGCAGGAAGGCCTTGCGCCGGAACATGGCGGTGAACTGCTCCGAGATGCGCTTGAACAGCTCCTGGATGGCTGTGCTGTTGCCGATGAAGGTGGAAGACATCTTGAGGCCGCGTGGCGGGATGTCGCACACGGCCACCTTGACGTTGTTGGGGATCCACTCGACGAAGTAGCTGCTGTTCTTGCTCTGGATGGCCAGCATCTGCTCGTCCACTTCCTTCATGGACATGCGCCCACGGAAGACAGTGGCCACGGTCAGGTAGCGGCCATGGCGCGGGTCGCAGGCGGCCATCATGTTCTTGGCGTCAAACATCTGCTGGGTGAGCTCGGGCACCGTCAGGGCCCGGTACTGCTGGCTGCCGCGGGCGGTCAGCGGCGCGAAGCCGGGCATGAAGAAGTGCAGGCGTGGGAAGGGCACCATGTTGACCGCCAGCTTGCGCAGGTCGGCGTTGAGCTGCCCGGGGAAGCGCAGTGAGGTGGTCACCCCGCTCATAGTGGCCGACACCAGGTGGTTGAGGTCCCCATAGGTGGGCGTGGCCAGCTTGAGGGTGCGGAAGCAGATGTCGTACAGGGCCTCGTTGTCGATGCAGTAGGTCTCGTCCGTGTTCTCCACCAGCTGGTGGATGGACAGCGTGGCGTTGTAGGGCTCCACCACCGTGTCGGACACCTTGGGCGAGGGCACCACGCTGAAGGTGTTCATGATGCGGTCGGGGTACTCCTCACGCACCTTGCTGATGAGGAGAGTGCCCATGCCTGAGCCCGTGCCACCGCCCAGCGAGTGGGTCAGTTGGAAACCCTGCAGGCAGTCACAGTTCTCACATTCCTTCCGGACCACATCCAGGACTGAGTCCACCAGCTCCGCACCCTCTGTGTAGTGACCCTTGGCCCAGTTGTTGCCAGCTCCACTCTGACCTGCAGGAGTCGCAGTTGAGAAGAAGGGCCAGTGTCAGGGCCTTCAGGTCAGCCCTAGGGGGGACCACTGTGGGCGTCAGGGGTTCTGCTCTGCCTTCCATGAACGCCCCACCAGCACAGCTCCTACAGCCTGCCAACAGCTTGGAGTGCTGGGACTGCATGCTAGCACCCAGTGGGGAGGGTACTGGGACCAGAGTTATACCCCAGTGGACGCTGCAAGGGCTCTGGGATGAGTCACTTTTATTCATTGCCACCCCCAAAGATCCTCTGCTGAACCCACTTGACCCTTTCAGTGTGTGACATCCTTCCAACTCTCTAATGCTACATTGGCTAGGGTGCGACTGGGCAAGGCAGGGGACTCACCGAAGATGAAGTTGTCAGGCCTGAAGAGGTGTCCGAAGGCCCCAGAGCGAACACTGTCCATGGTGCCAGGCTCTAGGTCCACCAGGATGGCCCGAGGTACATACTTGTGAGCTGGAGGTGAGGAGGATAGTAATGGAGTTGTAACTCTGGCCCCTCCTCCTTCCCACCCCAGTTCCTGTCCTATCCTGCGGACTACACAGTCAGAAGCCTGGGGCCTTATACCCAGGGCAACCACATGACATGGAATCACAGCTGGCATCCCAGGAACCAAAGCTATACCTCAGCAGCCTCTATGAAAAGAGCCTTCCCCCCCCCCCCATGACTCTCCTCTGCCTGACCAGGCTGTGATCCATCTAGAAGTCCTTCTATCCCTTTGGCTTTGTCTGACCTGTAACTTGTCCACTCTGCAGCCCTAATGACCCACCCTTAGCTTCCATAACTGACCACTAGAGGGCAGTGAGGTTATGACCTGTCCATCAGAGTGCCCGTCCCCCCAGCTGAGATGGGTGCTCACAGGAAGCCTCATTGTAGTAGACGCTGATCCGTTCCAGCTGCAGGTCTGAGTCGCCCACGTAGTTGCCACTGGGGTCAATGCCATGCTCATCACTGATGACTTCCCAAAACTGCAGAAGGATGTGATAACAGGCTGGCCTCACTGACCAGTCCTTCCTGCACCCATCTGGGCTGTTTACCATGACCCCTTCTTTTCAAATGTGGAAAACATCAGGCTATGACACAGAGGGCAGTTGCCTGCAGCAGGGGATGGATGAAGGACTGAAGAGACAACAGGGGGGCCCACGTAGGGAGGGGCTGATCTTAGGTCCCCCAGCCTGTCCAGGGGAACTGACCTGGGCCTGGCTCTCAAGACTGACTCCAGTCAAAGCCAGTGCTATATCATTCCTATAGACAGACATCCATCATGCCTGCTCCCCAGCCAGCAGAGTGAGAGAGCAGAGAACAAAGCACATCAGGAGGCGTCCCCATGCCCTCCTAGCTTCCAGACCTCGTGCCAGCAACTGTAGATGGTCTCAAAGGTGCAAACAGGTATGGGGGAAAGCATTCATCCTTGCAAAGCATTGTCCAGCATCTGGTCCAGTGCCTTGTTGGCACAGTATGAACATCATCTGCATGATGGAAGGCCAGTGTCTGAGATCTCACACCCCGGAGACCCTTCCCTGCCAACCGGTACTGGGCAGGGCACCTCACTATCCCACACCTCCTTTTGGGTTTGGATGAGTTAATGGGTGTGAAGGCACCAAAACACAAAGGGCCTGTCCGTGTGAGTCACATGCTGATGAGAAAAGCAGGTTATAAAACAGTACGCATGTGCTCATTTATGTAAGGGTGCCTGGCAGATGCACAAAACCCACTCAGAGCTGCTGCCCCTGGGGATGTGGTGCTGACAGAAAGAGATGCTTCTTCACTGTGTGCCCTTTGGTGTGGCTGGAATCCCCTGTCATGTGCATGCATCAGCCTGGGAGGAAGGAAAATGAGTTAAAAATAAATTTTTTAAAGTCTAAACTGTAATTATGAACTCTTGGCAATGTTTGGAGGTCTGCGCCTAGCTGAGAGGGCTTGAGGGCGCTCCTTCCTCTGTGCATTTTTGTCATTGCTAAGTTTCCTCTTTTTTGCATTCTCCACTCATTGCCCTTGAGTCAGAAATTACTCATAAGCGACCTTTCATTGGGTTTTTGGAGGCTGTAAATGGCACAGGAAGGGATTCCCAAGCTTTCTTCCATCAAGCTGCTGCTGGATTCAGAGCACTGATGGGCATCACCTGGGGGTCAGCAGCACAATTCCTGTGGCCTGTGCTACCAGAGCTCCCTAACTGCATTAAAGAAAATAAAAATGCAGACATGTCGCTGAGGTGTATGTGACCAAGCCTGACCCTTCAGCCTGCTCTTTGAATGTGTCAGAGAAGCAGCAGAGCTCTCTGGTCCCAACAAACCCAAGGCCCCACAGAGCTCTGGTCTCAGGGACACTGGAGCCACAAACTTCTCTCATTTCAAAAAGGAGATTTACACGGGTCAGGAAGAGCATGACTTAGCCACCATGACATTAACACATCCATGAAAAGTTTTCTCAACTGTAAAACGGTCCTGGCAACAGTACGCACATTAAGAGGTTAACAGAGGCCTGGCCTGTGAAAGCATTTAGCAATGCCGGTTTTGTTATGTTAAAGGGCCTTAGATGCTAGCTAAATGTAAGTCATGCATGAGCAACTTAAAGTCAGGAATTTTTTAAAAAAAGAAATATGCATTGGACTGCAGAGGAGCAGCTGGAAAGAATGAGGCAGGTCATTACCACGACTGCAGCGCCTCAGCTGAAACAGAGCGCACAGTGCACGCGGAGTGAGGGTAAACTCAGGAAAGGGGCACATTCTCCTGTAAAGAGGCCTTTGTGGACATGGCTAGGAAGGACCTTGGATGAGGCACAAGCCAACTCAGCTGTTCCCTCCTACAGAGGCCTAGGGACTGAGGGGAGGACAAAAGGGTTACCTTATCTGCAATGCTTCCATTTCTTGTCTTTCACAGGGAATTAATAATTGCATATGCAATTAAATGATTAATACTTCTGCATAGTGTAAAACAATATATTGCTGTAAAATAATAACTTTGGCATAAGGAGTAACACTGGGGCTGCTAACCAAAAGGTCAGTACTTCGAAGTTTTCCGAAGATGGACAGACTCCACCTGTAAAGATGTCCAACCTCAGAAACTGAGAAAATGTCCCTTCTCCACACACCCCACCCCACCCCCCGCCTAGCCGGGCGGCGACCGCTGTCCATGGTGCTGACACGTTTAGTCCTCAAGGAGAGGGAGAGGAACCGTGAAGAGGAGCAGACTGGAGACTCAGTGCCGAGGGCCTCCAGTCCGGTCCCTCGCCCCACTGCCCCTTTAGGCCGAGCTGGAGTTGGGGCGGAACCCTCGCTTGACGCAAAGAGGGAAAACCCAACAGGAAACGCCTCCTCTTGGTGCGTCAGAGCTCCGCCCAGAGGCCCCGCCCAGCAGCCGGGAAGGAAGGGCCCTGGGGGTCCGCTGGCAAACGCCCAGTGCAGACAAAGAGAGTTCCAGACAAGAAAGGCATGAGGCGCCAGGCTTCCAGGAAAGGGGTCCCAGAGGGCTATAAGAGGAAATGGGAACCATGGAAGAGTCCGCAGTCCCTACATTCACTGCTCCCCAACCCTGGTGGGAGGGCGAAGGGTGTGGGGCCCGCCCTCCTCCATGCTGCACGCCCTGATTTATGCTCACAGACCGACTTACATACCTATCCCTCCACGGCCCTGCCCGCGGGGACCCTAGAGCTCCTTGACTAGATGGGCTCGGACAAGTGAATCCTTCCCATGGCCCCTGTGTGACCCAAATCAGAGACATGACACACCATCTCTAAGAGAACAGCGCATCTCAGAAACTTGGTGTCCCAAGGGCAGCTGCTGCGCTCTGGGCAGGAGGGGGACAGGCCACTTCACGGCCTCTTCCTCACTCTGGCTGCGAGCCCCTTCTGTGTGCTCTCTGGAGGGAAGGCTGCTGAGCAGTGGACAAGGGAGAAAAAGAACTCTTGCCCTCCAAAACGCAGCTCTCTGTGGCTTGAGTTGTTTAAAAAAAGGTTAATTAACAAACATTAAGAAATAATTCCAGAAGCAATAAAAGCAATAGGCAAAACCAAGTGCCACAGTTCTGAAACACAGATGTCCAGGTTGCGCCCAGTAGTGAGGCTGGGGCCACACCCTGTGTCCAGCCCCAGCTGCATCTTTCCTGGTGGCCTCAAGGGCCAATCCTAGCCATGGGAGGGAATCGTCTCTACCCAGGCCTTCCTGACCCCTCCCCAGTGACTCCTGGGCTGAGCAGTAGCAGATGTTCGGGGTAGGCCTGGCCCCTGTGACCGTGTTAATGAACCCTCTGCCCCTGAGACTTGGCCTGGGCAGCTGAGGCCTGACAAGAATTGAGGCTCCTCCTCTAGTTCCTTCCCTGAGCCCTCCTCCTTGGCCAGACACAGCTGTCCCTTCTCATAAATAGGGAGTCTCCGCCCTCCCAGCCACAGGGATCTCCACCCTCAAGCCCAAATTGCAATTTACACATCAGCCACAAAGCTGGTCCCCCCCCCATTAGCATTTTTGTTCTTGCCTGGTTTCCATAGCAACAGTCTCCAGAGGAAGGTTTCCTTGGCCCCTTCCCTTCCAGGACTGGTCTCCTTCCACCTCCTCCTCCAGGGAATCAGGTCCCACCCTGCATTGTTCCGAGAGGAGCCCCAATGTCGACAAACCCATGGCCCAGATACCTCTGCAGGGCTAGCAGCGCCACTGTTCGTCTTGCACCTGCTGTGTGACCTTGTGCAGGGGACAATCTCGGGACTAGGGTTGTGACGCCTGCCTCATGGGTTTGGGTGGGATTTCCAAATCACTTCCTCAGGCTCCCTCAACGTTGACCTCCAACATCCCCTCCTGCCTCGGCCCACTCATCTGTAAGATGGGCCAACAGTGGGAGTCCCCCACAGGTGGAGCTCCTGTTTGCATAACTGGGGTTTTGTTACCAAGTCCCCAAGTCCAGATGGGTGCGGTCGCCCCTCCTCCCCACCCTCTTAATCCAGGCGGGGCTGAGCTGAACTGTGGGGAGGGTCAGAGTGCTGCGCCAAGGTCACTCCTCACCCAGTAGCCTCCTTAACCCAACAAAGGAACGTGAGAGGCCAGGGCGCCCAGGGGCTCGGAACTAGGAGGGTGTATCACAGCCCTGGCCAAGAGGGTCTACTGCTGCTCCTGTGGGTGGAGGAGGGGCACATTATGGCTTTTGGGGGGTGGCCCCACCCAAACCTGCCCAACCACTCCATCTCGCTGAAGACTGGGTATGAATCCCAAAGAAGAGGGCCACGCCCAGGGAGAAGAGCCAGGGTCGCCTGTCCCTCGCGCCTAGCTGCACCCGACGGAAGAGGGCAGAGGCTAACCGCTGACAAGCCCTCCGCCCAAACACGCCTGCTAGAACCTGGCCAGGGAAAAAAAAGAGGCATTGGAGAGGAAGCGCCCGGCCGCCCAGCACGGGGGCGGGGGGCGGGGGCTCATCCCTTTGTTCCCGACTTCGCAGTCTGGACGCTGTCAGGCCACAGTGCACGGCGCCCCTCAACCCTGGCCAGCTCTGGCGGGGACATGGGCAGGGAAGGGGCGCGCAGCCTCACCTTGGCCCCGATCTGGTTGCCACACTGGCCGGCCTGGATATGTACGATCTCCCTCATCTCGGCGCTGGCGGATGCAGGAGGATGCGGACCCAGCTGGCTGCGGAGGGCCGGCGGTGCCCGGCTGCCGGCTCTTATACGCCGCACCCCGCCTGCCAGGCCGCTCGCGTCAGCGTCGCGCAGCCAATTGGAGGCCTCCGCGCACTGCGGCACTGGGTCCGCAGCATCAGGACCGCGCATCGTGTGGGTCCGCGCACAATGCGGCGAGCGCGCACCTCCTCGGCCATCCAGCACTGCTGGGCCAGACCCTCGGGACTTGGGCTGTAGGACTGCAGGGAGGGGCTAGCCTTGGGACAACGGGCTCCAGGCGGAACAATAGAAAACACTGGCCCTCAGACCCAGCCCTGTGCAGAGCCAGGGCAAGCGCTTAGCCTTGTGCTAATTGTTTTCTCACCACCACAAAAGCCCCACCCCACGACTTTGTAAAGGAGAGTCTTTCTTCTCCCTGCACTGTGTAGGGACCCTGTCTGTGGTTGTCGGAGATTAGGTACTCCGAGTTTTCAGATCCCTTAGAGAGGGGAGAGAGAAAAGCAAGTCACGAGAGGAGATGGGTGTGATCCCAAGGGCCCACGGGCTCGCAGGACATCTGCCTCCTGTCCCCAAAGACCCTACCAGATCAAATGAAACTTGCTCTGTAGGTGCTTTGCGGGGGGCCATCGGGTGTGCTGGTGTTCTCAAGCCCGGTAAGTGCAGGGAGGGGCTGAGCTGGGGCAGGTGGTAGCCAATGGTTCCCTCTGATGTCCCTTGTGCCCATTAGCAGTCTTGGGTCTATGGGTAAAGTGAGGCCAGTAGAGGCTTTGGACACTGGAGGCAGGATAGGAGGCCAAGTGGGTGAGCTGTGGACCACCTGTGCAGGGAAAGCATGTGTCAGGGTCCCCAGGGAGCCAAAGGCTGTGTCGTCAGTTTTCTGGAAGGAGAGAGTAAAACATGAAAGTGATGTATATACATCACACTGCACACCACAAGAGCTGCACACAAAGAATACCACACAGACACACAGTGACACACACACCATGCTCACACACATGCACAGAGATACATATGCACACCCATGGACAGACAGACACCATGGGTGCACACACACAGAGACACACACATTCCCTGCATGGAGACCACAGACACACCCCCAAGGCACAGCCTTCTTCTGAGTGGGGAACAAAGCCCTTCCCAGTCAGGAAGAGGCAGCCTTGTGAGCTGATCACCACCACCAAGCCCCCCAGGTTTGTGTGCATAGCAGTGTCTAGGTGGGTGTAGCTCTGCCCCTCTCCCCGCCCCATTCTCTTTCATGATCAGCTCAGTGTGGTAAGCCTCTTTTGTTCTCCAGAGACGCCCCCTCCCCCACATGCATTTATGAGGTGGCTCTTTGTGGTTGGCTCCTGGCGCCTGGAGCCCTCCTAGTTTCTATCTGGGGTCCCAGGGCTGCACTTGGATCTTCCTAGGTCCAGGCACTGGCCTTCACCCATCAGAGTAGGGAGGAGGCTATGCAGAGTCACTCAGCTTGCATCCCTGCTGGTGGCATCATGCCAGTCCAACTTGTCTGTCCCCAGAAAGGTCTGGTTCCAGCTCAAGCCTGACTCATCCTCCCACCCCCCCAGCACAGACCAGTGCTGCTGGGAAACAGCTCCCAGCCCCAAGGCTGCAGTCAGGACACACTGGCAGGCTGAGTTCCAGCACAGGACGGAGAGGAGCGGCAGCAATTTCCCGGATCTGACAGACACCCCCAGGCTCAGCCCCCTGAGCTCTTATCAGGAGGGAACAGATGGCTATTGGGCACCAACGCTCTAGAGGGAGGGGGCTGGTACGGACCCCATCCCACTCCAGCTTACCCTGCACTTAGAAGCCCTTGAGTCCCCTAGAAGCCTGAATCTCAGTGTCTTAGTCACCAAGGACAGTAATGTAGAGGCTGTCCTTAGGGCAGATCAGAGGTGTCCAGGTGGGGCAGTGCTGGAGGGCAGCTGGGATGGGCAAAGGAGGTTGAGCCAATGGGCCTGCTTCTTGTTGCTGAGTGTGCTGCTCCTTTGTGTCTACAGAGAAAGAGCAGAGAAGCAGGGTCTTCAAAGCTCCCCCCTCAGGGGCCATTCCCTTGGGCACAGCCTCTGGTCTCCGGGACTCAGTTCTCCTTCCCTCCCCTCCCTCCCTCCTTCCTGAGACAGCTTCCAGAGGCATGGCGGTGCTGCTAGAACATGGCTTTATTACTGAACCTTCCCCAGTGTCCAGTTAGCACCAATACCAGGGATTCAGCTTGTTTGATGAGGAAGACATTGCAGCTTTGGGGCCACTTCCTAGCCTTCAGGAGGGACATGGGCCCCTTGCCTGAAACAGAGGAGACAGCCACTGCTGGCCTTTACCAGTCACAGTCCATGCCCAGCAGAATATTCAAACGTTGCTTGCTACTCTTCCCACCATGGTGTGACATCATGTCCCAGGTGACAGGAGCAGGTGAAGGCCCGGGGGGGGGGGGCAAAGAAGCAGAGAGGGTGTGTGAGGCTGAGTGGTCAGGAGATGGAATCGCTCCAGCCAGCCCCCTTGGCAGCAGCCCCCTCGGCAGGCAGCTCCCTCAGAAGGTTCTTCCCTGGAGTTTCCTGCTGCTGCCGGCAAGGCTGCCAGCTGTCTTCTGAGGGAAGGGAGGAAGTGAGGCGCAGCCGCCCAGACCACACAACTACCAGGAGCACAGCAGCACCTCCTTGAGTGTCTTGCGCAGTTCCTGGCTACGGAAGGCGTAGATGATGGGGTCCACTATGGAATTGCAGATGATGAGAGCGAGGAAGAGATTGAAGTTCTTGAAGACGCAGCTGCAAGTGGGGTGCTGGGGGCAGAGGACAATGAGGGTGAGGTGCAGGAAGAAGGGGCCCCAGCAGAGGAAGAAGAAGCCCAGCAGGATGGACAGTGTGGCGGCGCCCTTGAGGCTGAGGCGCTGGTAGACCAGCCGCCGCGGCTTGTGCAGCCGGGCAATGCCACGGGCATGGTGGCAGGCCCGGGCCAGCATGTGTAGGTATAGCACCACCATAAGGGCCACCAGTGCAAGGAAGAAGCTGACGAGGCAGACCAGCACGGCTGTGTGGTCGTAGTAGGTGACAAAGAGAGAGCTGGAGAGCACGCTGGCCGCCCAGATGGCAGCAATGACCCGGCGAGCCCGGGGCAGTGTCACAATGCTGTGGTAGCGCATGGCGTAGAAGATGGTGATGTAGCGGTCCACTGCAATGGCACCAAGGAAGCAGAGGCTGGACACCATGGAGCTGCAGATGAGCACATCGATGGCGTTGTCCAGCTGCTGTATGAGGCCTGTATGTGCAGCCAGTGTGCCTGTCTCCAGCAGCAGCGTGATGACTGTCTCCAGCACATTGCTCACACTCACCAGCAGGTCAGACACGGCCAGGCAACAGATGAAATAATACATGGGCGAGTGCAGGTTGCGGTTCCTGGCAATGGCAGCCACCACCAGTGTGTTCTCCACCAGGCTTGCCAGCCCCAGTGACAGGAAAAGCCCACTGGGGACAGTCACCTCAAAGCACCAGTGGTCTGTCTGGTTCGTGGCCAGCCCCAGGTGGGGTGTGGCAGGGACTGTGCTGTTGAGGGAGCCCCGCAGCCTCCCCTGGGTCCCCTGCATGGGCATAGCCCCCTACAAGTAGACAAAGTGTCCCAGAGGTGTCCAGGGGATGCCCAATTCCAGCTGGTTTTCCACTTCCTGCACAAGGTCACTGCATGGTGCCCAGGGACCTTGTGGGTCTCCACGGGGGAGTCCTTACCCCCTTCCCATCACGCAGTGTCTGGGGTCCCTGAATCAGGGACGCAGCCAGCTCTATGGCCCCAGTTGTCTGGGTCCTCGGTGCTGGTGGAACCATTCAAGGGGGCATGTCCATGAGGCCACCTCCTCTTGGTCCTTCTCACCCACCTTCTCTGTAGCCACCACAGCCTCCTGCCTCCTGAGACCAGGGCTGGGTGAGGCCTGGGAAGAATAAAAGGGTCTTTCTCCAGCCTCTTTAAAGGACAGTGTGAGCCCCTCCCAGAGGGCAGCCACATGACAGCTGAGCCAGGATGGAGGGCGGGGCCCACACCCTGCAGGCCTCTGTCCCAGAGCTTGGGCCAGTCTGACCTCCCAACCTAGGGCCTGTGGCCACTCACAAGGTCCCTTCTGACTTTACGTCCTCACCTGAGAAACTTGCAGCCTCTCCCCAGAGCCCTGAAACATCACCGATGATCAGCTGTCAAAACAGATTTGAGGGGAGTTTCCATAATTAAAACCTGGTGCTGAGATGGCAGGGTGGAGTTTTGGGGTCTCCAGCCAGGACAGAAGACACCCGGGAACCTAGGACAGGAGAGCCACACCCTGGAAGCTCCATGATGCCCACTGGGTCACTACCCACATCCGGCCCTCTCCCACGATGCCATGTCGTTTCCTCTGAAGAAGGGCAACCACAGCCCTCAGGCCATGACCACATCAAGGGCAGACTCCTAGTCTCCAGCTGGGAGGGCGGCAGGGTTGGGGGGTGGTGGTGGCGGTGGGTGGGTGGGGGTGGGGATGCTGTGTGTGGTCACAGTGTCAGCACACGAGGCTGTGTGATGGCTGGGCTCCCAGACCAATATCACTGACTCCTGGGTCTGCGTTACAGATGGAGAAGACACGCAGAGGAAGACAGCAGGGAGTTCAAAGGCAGAAGCAGTCAGGCTGAAAGAACTGAGAGTTGTTGCTGTTAGGTGTTGTTGAGTATGACCCATTGCGACCCTATGAACAATAGATCTGAACTCTGTCCTATTCTATGCCTTCTTCACACTTCCTGACACATTAGAGCCCATTGTAGCAGTCACTGTGTCAATCCACCTGGTCAAGTGTTCTCCTCTCCCTCGCTGACCTTTCACCTTTCCCAGCATCATGTCTCTCTCCAAGGAATAGGCCCTCCTACCAACATGCCCAAAGTGTGAGGTGAAACCTCATCATCTTTGCCCCTAAAAACACTCTGGCTGCACCCTAAGACATATTTTGTTTGTTCTTTTGGCCACCCATGGATGTTCAGTACTCTTTTCCAACACCACAGCTCAAAGGTATCAATTCTTCTTCTGTAATCTATTCATTGTCCAGCTCTGAGATGAATTGCAAGTGATCAGAAGATCATAGCCCAAATCAGCTGCACCTTGGTCCTCAAAGTGACATCATTACTCCTTAATAATTTGAAGAGGTCCCTATACAAACTTTTCCAGTCCAATTAGTCTCCTGATTTTCCAACTGCTGGTACCAACCATGTTGATTGTGGATTCAAGCAAGATGTTGTTGACAGATTCCATCTTTTCTCCATCTATCATGACATTACCTATCACTCCAATAGTAAGAATCTTTGTTTTCTTGACAATTTGAGATGCAATCTATATTGATGGCTGTATTATCTGAACTTCTCCAACAAGAACTTCAAGTCCTCTTCACTTTCAGCAAGCAAGGTTGTCATGAACGTAATGCAGATTATGGAGAGCTGAGAGTATGTTCCTGCTAAAACTACTTCCCACATAGGAACATCTGTCTGGTCATCAGGTGGCCCTTTATGCAGAACCCACTTGACTCTCACATCACATACCTGGTGCCATTACAGCCACCCCACACTGTTCCCATGGAAACCCAATAGCCTTTGAGTTATGAACAAGGTCACCAGAATGCCCACCATCATTCATTCAACAGTGGGTCTTCAAAGGCTGTAAATCACACAGGGGGAGACTGCCCATCTTCCCCCCATGGAGTTACTGTTATTGTGCCTTCGAAGTCACCTGCAACTCAGCAACCCCTTGTACAGCAGATCTGAAGCCTGCCACGTCCTGGGCCAGTCTCACTAATTCTGACACACCAACCCATTGCCCGTTACTGTACCAATCCGTCTCATCCAGGGTCTTCTTTCCTGCGGTGTCCCTCCACCCTTCAGAGTATGATGTCCCTCTCCAAGGACCAGTCCGTCCTAGTCATCTGCCCAAAGTATTTGAGACAGAGCTTCAAAATCTTAATGCTGCCCCGCTGGGCGGACTGTGTCTGTGTGGCGGCGCCCAGCCTCCAAGCCTATACCAGCTCTGTACAGTGCCTTCTCTGCCTTCTGTCGCCCCTCACTCACCAAACATGTGTATTTATAACAAAGTTCTGAAAAAAAAAAAATCTTAGCCTCCATGGACAAACTTGGTTTCACCTCCTCCAAGACAGACCTATTTGTTTTATTGGTATGTTCAAGACTCTTCTCCAGCACCACAACTCGAAGACATGATTCTTCTGTCATCTTTAGTCACTGTCCAGCTCTCTAATGCATTAACAAGGAATGCAAAGATCATGGCCTGGATCAGGGGCACCCTAGTCTCTAGACTGACATTGTTGCTTCTCAGTACACTGGAAAGGTCCCCGACAGCCAATTTTCACAATGCAATTTGTCTTTTAACTTCCTGATTGCTGCCACCAAGAGTGTTTGTGGAGCCGAGCAAGCTGAAATTGTTAACCACTTCAATCTCTTCTCCATCCATCATGATACTGCCAGTCAGCTCAGTGGTGAAAATGTCTTCTTGATGCTGTTTCAATCCTTATTGAAGACTACAGTCCTTGACCTTTTACAGCAAGCTCTTCAGGTCCTCCTCAGTTTCAGCAAGCAAGGCTGTGTCCCCTGCCTAATGCAGGCTGTTGGTAAGTCTTCCTCCAATCCTGATGTCACATTCATCCTCCTAAAGCCGTTTCCCAAATGTTCCACATATAGATTGAAAAGGTATGGAGACAGGTGCCCACTCCTAAGGGGCAGGTAAGGCACTGCCTGTCCACTCTCAGGGCTCAGAGGTCACAGTCACCAAACACAGTTATGCTCTAGACATGCCTCCCTCTCAAAACTGCCCCCCCACCCCAAGTAGTTATCACCTCAGGGGCAGGATCCCCTGCCACAAAAGGTCCTGGGACCCTTCACCATGGAATATGGCTTTGGCTGTTCCTGGCTACACACGATCCCAAGTTCCCACCCCAGTTGACGGTTCCCATGGGAGGGAAGGCCGAAATGGGTCTTCCGTGGTGGGCAGGCTGAGCCCTGGCTTCCTGGCCTTGGGGCCTGTCCTAAGTCACCACCTCTGGGTATCAGTCAGCATTTCCGACTCTGAAAGAGGCCTTTGAGGAGTGTTGTTAACCCCGCCCCTGGCCTTAGCTAGAACTTCAAAGGCGTGAGAACTGGACAACCTTTGGCAAAAGGCGCCACAGCCCCCTTCCTGGTATCAAAAGTGGGGGACCCTGTCAGGAGCCCTGTCTTGGCTTGCGTGTGGGAGATAACAAGTGCAACTGAGCTAGGAAAACCTGCTGGCATTGGGGGGTGGCATCTTTACCGAGAGAGGAGTGTGTAAAGTCCTGGCCCTGCATGGTGGGCAGACTAGCCTCTGCCTTGGGTTTTCAGGGCCCCTTTCATCACAGTAACAATGTCCTGGCCTTAAGCATTCTGCTCGGGGTAGGGGCCCAGGAGGACCTGACACAGCTGCCAGCTCCCTCTGCCCTACCCCCAGGAACCTGAGCCCCCATGTGCAGGAAGCAAAGCACCGGTCAGCGCCATCTGTGCTGGTAGCCTGGTCCTGCCTAGGGGCCATCATAGTGAGGCTGTGGCCAGCCTGGGGGAAGAGACAGACTCAGGAAACAGTTATCAACCCCAGTGCAGCTGCCTGGGTATACAGAAATGTGGCTCCCATGCCCCTCTCCTGTGTTCCAGTCCTGGTGCCTGTCCTAGGAAGGCCCTTCAGTCATCAGTTCTTGACATCAATGCAAAACTTAATTCCTGTTGCCACCTGATTCCAGGGGGTCACAACTAGGAGGGGTATCAGGAAGAAGACATCAGGATCCCCTAGCTCAGTGCCCTGATGCTTTCAGAAATTCTATAGACTTTCTAGGTGAGGTGCTGGCTACAATTTCCTCATGAGGGGAGAACGAGGGAGGTGGGGGGAATGGAGTTAGGTGATGTACAGGCACCAGGCTGGTGGAGGGGGAATGAAGGAGTTAGTGGGTGCATAGGCCTGGTGGGGGAATGAGAGTTCAGGGTTGCACAGGCTGCACAGCCTGGTATGGGGGAAATAACAGGGAGTGCACAGCTAGTGGGGTAGAAAATGACAATCAGAGTGCACAAGCCTCGGCCTTGTGAGAGAATGAGGGAGTTGGGGGAGTGCATGGGGTCCCAGTTGGGTGGGAAGAGAAAGGATGAAGAGGGCTCACTGGCAACAGTGGTGGGAAAAGAACGACAGTCAGTCAGGGGTGGTGCTGGGGAAGAATGGGGAGTTAATGCAGGCACAGGACCTTAGTCTGGAGGCAGGGAGAATGAGTTAGGGGTACGAAGGCTTGTGTCATGGATGAAAGGAACTGAAGGGTGCAGAGAGCCCCATCTGGGGGAGGACAAGGAAGGAGAGGGAGCACAGGTGCCCAGTCTCATGTGGAGAGAGTGGGAGCTCAGGTGCCTGGTCTCGTGAGGGAAGGAGTGAGTGAGTGAGTGGCGCTCAGGAGCCCAGTCTGGTGGGGGGAACGAGTTAATGAGAGCTCAGGTGCCTAGGCTCGTGGGGGAAGGAAACTGTCGAAGGCCCATGGGTGCCCAGTCTGGTGGGGGAGAAAGGATTCAAGCAAATGCGTAAGGCCCAGTCTGGACTAAGCACTGTGTTTTTAGCTTTTTCTGGAGCTACGTATACAGGCTGTGGGCAACTTGTGTCCTTGAAACTTAGGCACATGGACTGACCTTAGGACTATCTTTTTTTTTTCCTTTTTAATTTTTTTTAACTATTATTTATAACTCGGGTAACATGGGTAGGTGTCCCCTTGGACTATCTTGGTGGCTGTGTTGACACTACAAAAGCAAAAGCATTGCAGGACCCAGCTTGACTGCTGGCATTTACAGGAGTGGAAGACTACTGGCAGTCATGGCAGTGGTGGCCCAGCATTTACGGAAACAGCTGACCATCAATATTCACAAGGAAGGAGAAAACGAAAAACCATGTGGATAGGAGACCATGGGCATTCACGGCTGCATGAGACAACAGACACTCCCGCCGTGGGCAGATTGTCACCATTCAGAGGGCGGGAGACCACCAACACTCATGAGGGTAAGGGCTATTTAGATTTATGGAGGTGTGAGACCACCCACATTCAAGAGGTCAGAGGCCATGACATTTATGGCTGTAAAAATCACCGACACCCATGGGGCAGGAGACCACTCAAGGGGTGGGGGTGGGGGGCGGGCATGCGCACATGCGCAGTGGGAACCATTGATGTTTATGGGGCAAGGCTTCCGCCTCAGGGCTGGCTGGTCCACCAGGACACAAATCAAGGGCCCAGCTGAGATGCAGGGATGTGGTCTGTGCTCAGTCCCACTCCCCTTCCCCTTCATCTTGGTCCTCGCTCTCGTCATCCTCCTCATCCCCCATAAAATCCTCCAGGTTCTCGCGGCGAGGCAGGTGAGGCAGGTCCAGGTCGTTGAACTGGAAGTTGGCCATCATGTCTCGCATGGCCATCATCAGTCTATTGAAGCCTTGGACGCGGTCCAGGCCACCAGCACCACCTCCTGCTTGTTGGTCCAGACGGTCCTCCTGCAGTCGATCTTCCTGTGGCAACAACAGCCCAAGTGTGGAGTGAGGGGCCCATGTTCTAGGGTGAGCATTCCCATCCCATACTGGTCTCTGGGGTCTGCAAGACGGTGAGCCCAAAAAAGGGGACTGACCCACTGTGGCTGCCTGTCATCTTCTCAATCAGCCAGGGCGTCCCCAGATGCAGACCGGGGCCCAGGGCAACCTTGTCTTAGTATGACTCCCACTATGCTGGGCCTGCTTGGACACCATTAGCAGAGAGGTGGGTGGAGCAAGACACACACAAGTCTGTGGTGGAAGACGTACCTCCATGGTGTAATTCGGCAACAAGGATCGGAAGAAGAGGGCCACTGTGTTTGCCTGGCCAACAGGAGTTTGCCTGGTGACAAAGTGAGGAAAGGTCAGAAGTAAAACGGAACTGGTCCCTCAGGACACCAGCCAGGCTCACCATGCTCTCCTCGTCCTCTCTCCTCAGCAGAGAGCCAAGCCTACACAGCAGTTGTGGGAAGCTGACCCGGGACCCTGGGTTCCCAGAGTGGCATGGGATACCAGGACTGTGGAGTGGGTAGTGAGAACCACTGACCAGTTCAAGATTGGACAGTGAGCACTGAATCTCCCTTGTTAAAGGCAAAGAATGATTTAGATGAGAGGGAAGTTAGGGGGGCTGGTCCTTCAGAACCATGCTCACTTGTAACAATCTGGAGCAAAGAGGACAGGGCAATCAACCAAAGCCAAGAAAGGCACCGGACACAAGACAACTCATCTTGTCATGGTTCTGATTCCTAGTGGCCCTCCATCAGGTCTCCAAGTCTCTCCATGGGAAGAAACTGACTGTTGTTCTGCTACAGAGTTAGTGTGTAGACTCAAACTGCCAGGCCTGCAGCTGGCACTGTGCCACGCCTGTGTAACCCCATCAAGCTCATAAGCACACCAGAGCACACCCCGATGACCCCTACTGCAGAAGGGGATACTGCTGCTCAGCTCTACTAGACCCCAAACCCAGAAGAGGCTGAGGGTGTCAGCTCACACCTACCAGAGTACTGGGTTCCAGTTTCCAATGGCTGGCTTCTAAAACACTAACCACCAGGGCTTCCTTTGAGGTGCCTCTGGTTGACTCAAATTTCCAACCTTCCTATCTGCTGCTAAGGGCAGAGTCTGAAGCACCCAGGGACCCCACTTGAAGTTTTGCTGATTTGGCTGTGTGCCATATAGCTGACCTGGACTCACGGTGGTTCTACGTGAGAGAGGAGCCCTAATGGGTTTCCCAGGCTGTAGTCTTTACTGGGGCAGACTGCTAGGTTTTTTTATCCTGGTAAGGCAGTGGTGGCTTTGAACTACTGACATTTGCTTTAGCAGCCAAGTGCTTAACCAAAGTGCCACCAGCAGTCCTTAGACACCTTAGTAATAACCTTTCAAGAAGCTCTCGTTGTTAGGTGCTGCTGAGTGCGAGTGACTCACAGTGACCCTATGAACAGCAGGTCTGAACCCTGTCCTGGCCTGTGCCACCCTCACCTTTCCTGATACATTAGAGCTCATTGTGGCAGTCACTGGGTCAATCCACCTGGTCAAGGGTCTTCCTCTCCTTCACTGACCCTCTACCCTTCGAAGCATCATGTTCCTCTCCAAGGAGCAGCCCCTCCTGGCAACATGTCCAAAGTACGTGAGGAGAAGCCTCATCATCCTTGCTTCAAAGAGCACCCTGACTGCACCCTCTCCAAGACATCCGTTTGGTCTCTTGGCCATCCATGGGATGTTCAGTGCTCTTCACGACACCACAGCTCAAAGACATCAATAATTCTTCTGACATCTCAATTCACTGTCCAGCTCTCAGATGCATAAAAGACCATGGCCTGGATCACACACACCTTAAGTCCTCAAACTGACATCATTACTCCTCAATAATTTGGTGTTGCATTCATAGCCAAAAAGTAAATTTCAGGTAGGATAGTATCCATACGCATGCAAGGAAGACCTGTTAATATGACTATTATTCAAATATATATTCTTATATCCAGAGCCAAAGAGAAAGAAATTAAGAATTTTTACCAAATCTTGCAGTTGAAATTGACCAAATATACAATCAAGATGTGTTAATGATAACTGGTGACTAGAACGCAAAAGTTGGAAACCGTCAAGAAGGAATAATAGGGAGGATAGGGGGGAAGGAATAGTAGTTGGAAAATATGGGTTGGGTGATAGAAATGAGGCTCTAAGTGGAGTGATTGAATTTTGTATTTTCAATGATTATTCATTACAAATCAAAAGGCGCATTGCCATGGGAAAGTCTGCTGTTAGGGACCTCTCCAAAGTACTGAAGAGCAATGGTGTCTCTCTGGAGACTAAGGTGCGTCTGATACAGGCCATGGTCTTCGCAATCACTTGTTATGCATCAGAGAGCTGGACAATGACCAAGGAGGATAGAAGGAGAATTGATGCCTTTGAGCTGTGGTGCTGGAGAAGAGTATTGAGAATACCATGACGGCACATAACAACAACAACAATTCATTACAAATAACTTTCTTAAAATACTAAAAGACCCAAATAATGACCTTACACATCGATCTCACCTAATGGGCTGCACAGGAATCAGAATGACTACAACTGTGAAGAAATCATTGGAGAAGCTCAATACTGGCAGTCAAAACCTGGCTAAGTGTGATTGTGGGTCCACCCCTTACTTATTACCTATGTGCAAGTAAGTTCAAATTGAGGCCGAAGAAAATGAAAATCAATTCCCAAGAAATAAGATGTGATCACGAATCTATTCCAACTGAATTTTAAGATCATCTTAGGAATAGGTTTGAGGCACTGAACACCAATGATCAAAGACCAGATGAGCTGTGGGATCAAGAATATCATCCATGAAGAAAGCAAAAGGTCATTACGAAGACAGAGAAGAAAGAAAAAACTCGAGATGTCAGAAGACTCTGAAAACTGCACTAAAGCATAGAGAAGCCAAAACAAAGAGACAACACGCCAAAGTCAAAGAGCTGACTGGGAGGCTCTAGGAAGGGTGAGAAAGCTGGTGGTCTGCAATGGTGGGGAGGCAACACAAAGCTCAGAGCCAGCATAGTGCTAGCATCCTCACCGCCACCCACCCAGCATGCAAACATGTCAGGCCAGACCACTGGTATGAATGGTAACTTTTACCCGAACCTATGGGGAAATCCATCATGGAGCCAACCCCTCATGGTCATGCAGTCATCATTTTAGAAAGGTGTCCAGTATGTGGGAGAAATGGGCCTCACTCTACAAACATCTGGAAAGCAGTGTGTCAGAAGTAAAGAAACCTGTGCCTACTGCTTCCTCTGAGAACTGCCACTCTGTGGTTGATGTGTCCTGGGCAAGGCAAGTCTCAGAGTGCTAATGCTAAAAGGCCAGAGAACAAGAAGCCTTTCAGTGTCGCAGATTTTGAAAGCCGTTTACACAGACCTCTCCCATCTGTCAGGTGTGCATTACACCGCCCTGCTCTCTGCTCATGGGGCTTTGTTTCACAACAACCTTATGCCCTGTTCCCTACACAAGGCCTCTGCACATGCTGCCTCTCAGACTTGAAACTTGGACCCTCTCTTCCTAGCTAAGAAATCTTATTTTACATCTCAGCGTAACATCTCCTTCCTTTCAGTCACACTCACCACCTTCTTCCTGAGGTTTCTTTTATAATATTGACCTTGTATCTGTTCCCTGGGGTTCATGTCTGATTCCCCAGTGGCTGACTCTACATCACACCCCACTGTCACTCCAAGTGTGCTGCTGAACCTGAGAGAATTCAGGACCAACTAAATGAAAGAACAGGGCCTGCAGAACCTGACCTCCACACAAGCCCTGTCTCCTTCTCTGAGGAAACGTGTGCATGTGCCGTCAAGTTGGATGTGACTGGGACAGGAGGAGACTCGAACTGCACACATTTGGGAATGCAGTGCAGCTTCTTGCCACTAGTCATCAGAGCTCCCTTTGGAGAAACCTTTTGTTGCCTAATTTCTTTGGTCTGTTTAGGGAGGAATCAGTGATCCTGAAGGCTTCACAGATTGAAGAGCAAAAATGAGTCATACCTCTGCGGTCTGATGTACGAGTAGATGGTGTCGGCAGGAGGCAGAGGGTCAAACCCCATCACAGACTGCGTGGTCACTTCCTTCAAAAGGGACACAAACAGACACGCTACAGAGTACGGCCAGGTGCCCCTGGCGGTCTTTCCCCCATACTTCAGGATGGGCTGCATGACTGCAGTCTGACAAAACAGCTCTGGGTATCCTGCTGTGCTCACTGTGCTAGAGAACTGGGTGGTGGGGCAGAGGGTGGGGGGTGCTCTGCCCTTCTGCTCTGCTTGGTGGGCTGTAAGGGTAAAAAGAGAAGAGGAAACCAGAACAGCCAAGCCTATGGCTGTCAAACTGATGCCAACTCACGACACTAAGGGGCAGAGCAGAACCGCCTCAAGGCCTGATGAACCCCGTATCATTACAGACAGCTGGTGGGTTCAAACTGCTGGCTTCTCAGTCAGAGCCGAGTGCTTAATCACTGTGCCGTGTGCCGCTGTGGGCTGTGAGAACAGGTGGGAGAAGGGAGAGGACCACATGCCACCATGAGGTGCTGCGCACAAGCGGCTTCTCAACTCACTGATCCCACTGCAGGTTGAACCCTACAAACAACAAGTCTGCAGCTGTCCTCGCTGCAGCTTGAGGCCAAGGGTACTGCCTGAGTGAATAGCCCCCATTGCTGAGGTTGGCTGAGGTGCTGTGCTAGACGTACCATTACAGCAGGACACTCCAGAGCCCCCTCCATGGAATGATTCTCTCCACCGCATCCCTTTACAACAGTACCAGTTCCCTTTCTCCTTAACGCACAGTGAGCATCATGACAGCAAGTGTGGCACACGCCCACACGATAAGACATGCAGCAGGGGCAGCTGTGCACAGGTCATCTCCTCATGTCACATGAATGGTCTGGTTTGGGGTTAAGGGTGGCCAGTGGCCTTGAGTCCAGGACACCAGATGTGCACTTTAAGTCTGCAAGGACTCCAACAACTGTGGGACAGCTCTACAAAACCAAGCCTCAGAAAATGGAGGTGGCTTCGTGACAGCAAGCTAGCCCCCACACAGCCCATTTCCCATCCGCTCCTACCGGGGGCAGTGTGGCGATGGCCTCCTTGATCTCTGAGAGGACCACGTGGCGGTGGATGTTCCTAGGTGCCCGCTGGTAGAGCACCCGACGCCTGCAGCCAAGAGAAGGGCAAGGGTCACCAAAGAGAGCAGCAGCCATGCAGGACACCAACACTTTTCCTGGTCTAAAGGGGCATGCTGCAGCCCCAGCTCCTAGGGGAAGCAGAGGCTCTAAGGGAAACGGCAGCTTTGTGACCAGTGATTTACTTTCCTCTGCACAAAAAGGAGACAGGTCAGGACCCCAGGCTGGCCGAGAAGGTCAGTGGAGACTGAGCACCCTGCCTGGCAGTGCTGGTTGGCTGCACACACAGAACAAGTGTCTGCTCAGCACTGGACGCTACTGTTCTAGAAAGGAGTGCAGCCCACCATATGACAGCCTTGCTAACAAGAGGCTGAAGAAGAAGGCCAGGAGCAAAGTGCCAGCACCACTCGTCAACCCGCAGAAATTCAGGATGGGTAACAATCCCACCCTACATTCACTATCTGCACCTTGCCCAGCCACCCTTGGATTTATCACGTGGGAGAGGAGCATGTGTCCTGGGCTCTGTACTCAGGTGGGGAATCTGCATGAGAGGGACTGGAGACCTGGCCACGTTCAACCCTAAACACACATGGGACACAGGTGTGCCACAGACACTCACCCTCAGCCCTTCTGAGCGGCCCTGGGCGAGCTCATTCCTCTTATGTAATGAGTGCCCAGTACCAGTGGCCGATGCTGTACTCACCTGCTCTCGCAAGCACCCACAGCAGGGTCCCCAGAGTCCACCGCATCAATGACCTTGTGGACATTCTCTTCCAGCCAGCTCATGATGGCAGGTTCTTTCCAGAGGAAATGTGATCTCCCAAGGTACAGGCTGACCAGCTGGTTCAGTGCAGGTGACTGACTAAGGAGAGCAGAGCTGTGAACCCCAAGTCTGTGCCACAGCCCCCACCCAGTGGCCCTGTCCCCAGAACATCAAAGTCGCCACCACTGACCGTGGAAGACATTATGCTGAGTAAAATATCTCAGTCACAAAAGGACAAATACTGCATACTGTCACTGTTATAAAACAGGACTGATGTGGGGGTTGGGGGAAAAAGAAGAAAAGAGGATAAAAAATTTACACTGCACTGAAACAGATGAGGGAAAGAACTGTTTAAAAGGAATTTAAGATTACATATTATTTGCATGAAAACAGTCCAGAGTAAGAGCTGCATAGCAAAGTGGACTAGGGTGGAGGGGATAGGAAATAGTACAACAATGAAAGAATATTTTTTCAAGGAGAAAAGCAAACTGGGTGGGTGGGTAGGGAGGAAAATGTGCAACAATGAATGAATGGAAATCCAAGCTATCTATAAACTTTCATTAAAAATTTAAAAAAAAAAAAAAGGAAAAGGCCCTGCCCCAGAACTAACACGGACCCTACCCAGAAGCAGTCCCATCTCATAGTTTGCCACACCTAAGGAGGCCAGGCTAAAAGCAAAGCTGGACACAGGATCTACTGGATTGTGGGAGGTGCTGTGGACAATGATGAGGGTCATGGGAGTCGGATGGGATAACAGGGAGCCAGGAGAGAAGTGACACCCACGTGCATGGGATCAAAAGGAGGACAGGGATGGATGGGCTGACATGGAAGCAGGTGGGGCAAGACACAGAAGTAGATGAGGGGAATGAGGCAGCAGAGTAGTGATGTGAAGGCAGATGAAGACAATGGGAAGAGGAAGGCAGGAAGAGGGAAGCCAAAGCTGAGATTGATGGGAGTGATGCGGGCTGGCTTGGGGGCCAGATGTGGATGGGGTGATGGGAGCCAGATGGAGCAATGCAGTGGCGGATGAGAGTGACAGAGATGGGAACTGGGCGGGGGGCATAAGGGTGTGATGCAGGGACATATGGTTATGACAGGGTACCACATAGAGATAATGTGGAGGAGAATGAGGTGACAAGGGTGGAAGTAGAGATCCAGGTTGGGGGTTGATGCAGAGGTGGAATGGAGGCAGCTCAGATGGGGAGTGAATGCGCGATAGTCATGGGGCGAATGAAGGTGACAGAGCCAGGCAGAGGGCTGGTGTGGGGCTGAGTTAGGACGGACAAGAGCCCAGTGTGAGGAGACAAGAGACGGATGCAGGCAGAATTACGTAAGGGGGTGTGACGGAAGAAGATGAGTGTTGGCGGTGGGCTAGGTGGAGTGACTGAAGCCTGGGCAGCAAGGCTGGGTGGAGAAAGCCAGGAAGATGATGGGCTGCGTGTGAGCAGTTAGGAGGCGGGCAAGATGGGCGCTGGGTGTGCACATGCTCCAGGGCGCGCATGGGGGTGTCAGGAGCTAGAAAGAAAGATGTGCAAGGGTACAGGTGCACATGCACTGTGCTGTACCCTCCAGGGTTTCTGTGCTATTTCTACAGGAGCTTGGATTTCAGAAGTGTACAACAAAGTACCAAAACCATTTAGAAAACAAACGACATCCTTGGGGGTCAGTTCTCTCTATGATGAAAGAAATTTCTTCTTGGTTATTTATGAGGCAGAAGGAAGATGATGTTATTTCCTGCCAGTACTTTCTTCATTATTTTTTGTACTTTAAAATGGGCGTATAGGAGACAGTACGACTGGCACAGGACAGAGCAGAGTTTAGGGCTGTAGTACATAGGGTCGCTATGGGTCTCAAGCAGCTCGATGGCACATAACAACAAGAAGTAAGGGAGTTCTGGTGGCTTAGTGGCAAGAAGCCGTACTGCAATCCCAGAGGTACATGGTTCGAATCCACCAGATGCTCTGCTGGTGGAGGAGCAATCTCCTCCTGTACCAGTCAGATCTGATTTGAGGGTACACATCATCATAAAAAAAACCAAACGTAGTGTGTGCTCACTTCGGCAGCACATACACTAAAATTCAAACGAAACAGAGAAGATTACCATGGTCCCTGCACAAGGATGACATGCAAATTCGTGAAGCATTCCATGTTTTTGTCAGCTTTCTAAAAAAAGTGGACTAGAAGTGTTATGTGGTTCAAATCCACCAGATGCTCTGCTGGAGGCAGGGGTAATCTCCTCCTGTACCAGTCAGATCCAATTTGACAGTACACATGCACACAAAATAGTAACTTTTAAAAAAAAAGTGGAATAGAATAAAAATATATTAGTAGTGTTGTTTGGTTTTAAAAAAAAAGTAGCATGTGCCCATCTAGCAACGTGGGAAATGCTGACAACTTCCAAACCAGTTAGCTCTCTCCTGGGCCCCACAGCCAGGAGGACCTTCGATTCTTGCCTGCCCATAGGTACTGTCTACTGGAGGTAGAGGGAAAGGTGGAAATGAACAAGGGTCCAGCTCATCTCACAGGTAACAAATCCCTTCTCAGTCTGAGGACAAGGCTGGCCCCTCATAAAGTCACAGCCGTCGGCTTTGGGTGGTCATTCCCAGGCAACAGTGCAGTACCCTGCACTCACACCAACACCCAACAGTGTGTCACAGGACAGCACCCCACTTCCAGATGAGTCCTCAAGTATCAGGCACCTCAAGAGCAAGAGTGCCCAAGAAAAGCACACCCATGCCTGCCCCTGGGCTGCCTTCTCTACCTGATCTGGGCGTTGGGTCCAAAGAAGGGGTGGCTGGCGACGATGGAGTCAGGCCGCACGCTGCAGAACTCCAGCAAGGGCATGAGGACTGATGAAGAAAGAGAGCCATCATTCAGACAATCATCCGGCCCCCACTAACTCCCCCCCCAGGGCCTCCCTGCCCCACCAGTCCACTGCTGCTGTCACTCCTAACAAGGGATCTCCTCACATCAGATCCTGAAGGCTCATGCCTCGAAGAAGTGGATGATGGTTCTGCCTCCCACTCTGAGGCCTACAATGGAGGCTTTCCCAGCCCTGCACACCAGACACAAGGCACCAACATGTGGCCAAGTCCTGCCCTGTGCTCATGGGGCCTTCATGGCAGAGCTGTCCGGCACTAGCGGCTTCCTAACAGCTTTCCCAGCCATCCTCCCCAGTGACATCCTGCGCGCACTTGGCTTTCTCTGCCCCTCCACCAGACTTTCATGTAGCACACAGGGGACTACTGACACACCAGCTCCCCGGGGCTGCACCACACCCCCAGTCATCTGTAACTAGGCAGAGACGAGGCCAGGACACTCCTTGGAGAAGGAAGGAGGCTCAGCACCTCACAGAAGCAGGTGCCTGCCTTCCGTTAGGTGTTCCTGGGCTCAGGCATTGCCCCCACCCCTTGAATGAGCCCCCAAAGCCTTGACAGGTTCCAATAGGCTCTAGGGCATCCCAACTGGCTTCGCACACACACACAAGTTGCAAATCATTGTCAGGATGGCAGCCACACCACGTCCCCGTAAGGGAGGTTTTCCAGGAATTGACTGAGGAAGGCCAAGAGCCCCAAGTGTGACCAGGTGAGATCTGAGAGCAGCAGTCCATCCCGAGTGTCCAACTCAGTGGACACACCTGTCCTAGAGAATGACCCATATCCAACCCCACTAAGCTAATTTCTGCCCCCTCTTCAGACAACATGTGTTTTCAAAGCAGTTGCTATCCTAAAGCCCAAAGCACCCAGAGGAGCCAGCTGATGTCTGGTGGGAAGCAGGTGCACCCTGGCTCCGCGAACGTAGAACCTACCTCCAGGGAACATGGTGAGTGCTTGACGGATTAGCAGTGAGGCCTGCTCCCGGTCAGTGTTCAGTTCCTGCTCAGAGCGGTTGGCTTGCTGGCTCAACAGGAAGTACGCCAGCGGCACAGAGAAGGCAAAATTTGGGAGCTGGGAGAGGTTCCGATGAGGCTACAGAAGAGAAGAGGCTGGGTAAAGACCAGAGGCAGTCTGACCAGCAGCCATACATGCTGCCCCAGGGACGTGGCAGTCCAGGAGCCGCTCTATACCCATGTTCACCACACCCACACCATGCACTGGCCCTTTCCCTAAGCCTGTGGATCCCAGTAAATCAGATCTCAGAGGGGCGAATTCTTGACCAACTTTGCCAAATGTCACATAATTCAAAGCGTTCTATGTTTATGTCTGTTATGCAAGTCAAGACACAAACATGTAAAAAGAAAAGTCAGGGTGAAAGAACAAGGGTCACTCCCAGAACACCCTGCTGCAGAGTCATAGGGGTTCGCTGCCTTTCTAGGCTAACAATGTCCAAGAGATGGACACCGCCGCATGCATTTCAAGTAAGTAAAATTTACTATTTCCCTTACCCCAATGAACCTAAAACGTTACCATTGTTAACATGGAACCACTAAGGAAAATTTCCAAGATTATCTTTCTCATTTAAGTTCATCTTGAGTCTTGACTGCACCATCCATAGGACAAATCTATCAAGGCTGCTGTCTGGACAGCCAAGTGGCTTCAGGCTACTCCTGCGAATGTGCACAACAGCTGGGGACCATGTGTGTAGTATTAGACATGCAGGGTAGTAGATACAGGACAGATGCTGCTGTGATGGGCTCTGCTGAGGAGTGTAGCCGCCTCAGCTCCCCTTCACAGCAGCTCTGTGCTCTATACACATACAAGTTAGTGTTTGGACCCTGACAGGCTGACCCTTAGTTGCAGAGGCCGAGGGTTCTCCAAGTTGTCAGGCTGTCGCCGCTATACTGTGCTGATCACTGCACACTGGTCCAGCCTCACCCCCTCACTAAGGGTCACCTTGCCTATGCCAGGTACCGAGCCAAGGGCAGACTTGTCCTAGCGAGGGGTACACCACCACACCTACCTCCCAGTCCTGGAAGAGGCAGATGAGGTACTCGTAGCAGCGGGCCCGCAGTGCCAGGTGGTCCACCAGCAGCAGCATGCACAGGGGGTCTTCGTCCGGCTCCAGGCTTTGAGGCAGAGGAAGGTGTCACGGTGTGGGTGTGCAAGGCGGGACACATAAAGGGGGGGACACTCACCTCAGGATGAGCTTGCAGTACTCAAGGGCTGTGCGTGGGCAGCCCCTCTTCTCTAGGAAGGTCATGTGCTTGTACAGTGCCAGGTAGAAGCTCCTAGACCAAGGAGCATCAGAGCCATCAGAGGGTAGCCAGGTGCACAGCTGGGGCTGGGCGTTTCCCATGTGGCCCTACAGGGAGCTGGTCAGGAGGGGGAACCCTACTGCTGACTGTCTGCAGGGACCCTGGTCATGCATCTATGCACCAAGAACCACAAAGCAGAGTTGAGTTTAGTGAAAAAGCTTTGCCTCTTACTTTCTCACAAAGGTTAGAGCTCAGAGCTCATGCTGTCTTCCCGAGTTTGCAGCTGTCAGTGGGACCACTCGTCACAGGTCTGTGACAGCACTGCTCTTGCTGAGTTTTCCTTTGTCAACAGCCCACTACCCCTTTAATGCCTAGACGTGCTAAAATGGGTATTAAGGGCTTATCTCAAGAAGCTAGGAACCTGCTGCAGAGACAAAGCAAACACAAATATCACCCAGCAGGTGATGGTGATTGGGGACACATGGGGAGCTGTATGAAGGCTTACGACACAGTCTAAAGACATCTGAGGCTGAGAGATAACAGTGGATCTGGCCCAGGGAGCAGGGCTCTGGGCTGACTCGCAATCACAGATCTGTCCTGGGTCACGCATGCTTCTCATGTGAAGACTTGGGAACAGGCTAAACCACAGAACTCTGCTTTCTTGGCCTCCCACGGGACACTTATTCTAGACCAGCCCCACCGCATCTGGACCAGGAACTACTAAGGAAAAGTGTTCTGCCGCAAACGCTAGATCAATGATTCAGGTGTGGCATCAGGTGTAGATGCAGGTGCGACCCAGCCAAGTGCTTACCTGTTCTCTGGTCTGCGGTAATCTAGTCGGCAGGTCCCACTGGTAAGACTGAAGAGAGGGTGGAACGCACACTCCAGACTGTACAGAGCCCTCTCTGTGGAGACAGAACCACTGGTCATCATGCCCCTCGCCTGGCCCAGACCAGGACGAGTCTGGAAGGAGGGGGCCTATAGCCTTGCCCCAGTCTGGAGGTGCAACTTTTTAAACTCTTAGGCACTGTCAGCGTGTGTGTCAACCAAGAATCAAAAGCATGAGACCAAGAAAATTCTGCTGTGAGGTGTGTTTGGGGCAGCACCCAAACAGGGGTGTCCACCAGACAATGTGAAGACAGGGGAAGCATGTCCAGAACCATGTCCACCCATGATGTTGGGTCTAAACATATGGTGGTCATAAAGAGAAATGAAGTCCTGAAGCCCGCTACAATATGGATGGACCACACACACAATACACTCCAGAGAGAAGTCAGACATAAAGGGACAGATGTCTGATGTCAATCACATGAAACATGGAGGATAGTAGAATATGTAATTATGAAGCAAGCAGCTAATAACGTGGCAGCACTCTGTGATGGTTATGACGCTAGATACACGGCAGAAACACAGAACTGTACACTTCAAACATCACACTGAACGAAGCTGTTCCTCAGGCTACGCTGACAAATCCACTTGTATCTTATGTCATCACAGGAAAAGAGAAACAGCCTAAGACCAGCTGCTGCTGACCCATCTGAAAGAGGTTCCGAACAGGGACTAAACAGAGAGGGATTAAATGGGGAACCAGACTCAAAATTACAGTTAGGACAGAGACTAGAGGGGACCCTCAAGACTCTGCCCTTACACCAACCAATGAAAATTTTTTTTTGACGTGAAATAGGGGGGATAAGGAGGAAGATGTGCAACAATGATGAATGAAAACCCAATTTTTCTACATTCCAACTGTAAGATTTCAAGTGGGAACCAAGACCACATTAAGTACCTAAGTAATCTATATCTTTGCAACCAAAATAAAGATGATTAAAAAAAAAGCAACTTGTCTGCGAAATCTGTTAAAATCACACACACAAAAAGGACTTTGTCTTAACTCATGCTCTGAGCTAAGATGTGAACACATCTCTGTGTACAACCCACAACGAAGGACAGAGAGGCCGGCAAGATGAATAGTACAAATAAGTTAACGAGACATACTCCACAATCTAGGACCGACAGGCCGACAAGGGGCACAGTAATAACAGGGACGACACAGGCTCCTGCAACAAGCCAGGACACGAGACACAAAGGAAGCATGTGTCTACAAAATTCACAGACAGGAAGGAATGAGGAGGATGAACAGAAGCAAGAATCACAGGGCACCGAGAAGAGTGCCATCACAACACAGGGATTACAGTCCAACATCCTAACACAAAACACACATCAACGGCTGAGCAGACCAGCCAAGCTGCTCTGTAAACATCCCCCCGCCCCCGGCTTGTTAAAAAGTGAACATAAACACAGCTTTTGGCCCCAATCACTGAGCTGCCGCCGAGGACTCAGCTGCCTCCCCCTCGAGCCCGCTC